AAATCAGCACCTTGTTCAGTTTTTCACAAATAAACACAGGTCCTTCTATGAACGAGGAATTATGAAGCTCACTGAAAGATGGCAAAAGGTTATCGAACAAAACAGGCAATATATCATTGATTGATCTTTGTTCTTTATATAAAAACAAATGACCTTTGAAAATCATAGACAGGATACGTCATGACTTTTCCGAAGACGCAATAAAAGGAGACACTTGAAAATGGGGTTGGAGCTGCCATCCCAGAGGAACTGCCTTGCACATCTTACTCCTCAAAACTTTGGAATGTTTAGGGGGCAAAAGAACCTTTGGACTAGGCCAAAGCAATATTGTGTCCCAAAGAACTGTTTGCAGAGTTAATCAGAAAGCAGATGTTCTGACTACAAGACTAAAAATTAAAGACATTCTTTAGGATTAGCACCACCATGTATAGCTAAAGAATAACTTAGCTTATTAGCACCTATAGAAATTCCTTCCTTGACTTTATTAACACCGATTGAAATTCCTTCCTTGTATTCATGTAATTATTCCCCTTCCCATTGTTATAGAAACCCCTCTCCTTCACTTTATAATTGGAGCACTATTTGGGTTTCCTCCTGAATCAGTGCTTCACAAAAAGCTCTGTCAAGTAAAGGCTTGTTGCCTCTCACTTTGGCCTTTTATTCTTAGGTTAACAATATAAATAAATTCTAATAACTTTACATATATTTACTAAGTGCCTAACTGTATTCTAAGAGTATTACATATAGTCAATTAACAGCCAAACCCTCTATAACAGGTGTTATTTTAATATCCTCATTTTATAAATAAAGAACAGAAGTACAGAGAGGTTAGGTAACTTGTCCAAGGTCACACAGTAAGAGACAATCAGAGAAATGAACCAAGATAGTCTGGGTCTCTTATGCTCAACTCCAGTTGATAGTCACCATGAACTACGTACTCTATATGCTTATTTATCTTCTTTAAAGTGTATTAGTCTTTCCTTCCCTAATTCTATGGCAGGGTTCTTTAAATGCAAGGAGACTATTTTACATATCTCTTCGTAGTCCCTATATTTTCTACACCATTTTGCATACATTATATTGATGGAGATAACTAGACAGGTCTTAAAGAACTTGGTGAGTGCAGGATTTTTAAACAACGTGTAATATCTGTAGTTTCCATGAGACATAATAACTCTCTCAAAATAAATTAGATAACTTTGGAGTTCTAATAACAAAATGTTAAGATGGTGGCCTAGAAGAATTAATACAGTTTTCAAAGCTAACTTATTAGGGCCACAAACTCTGCGCCATATGTTATATGAATCAACTCAAAGAAACTATAGTTTATGACATGAAACACAATAGAGGCAACTGAGGTGCAGTTATACCTAGTAATATTTTAGATTAAGTCTTCAACATATCTGAGTCTCAATTTACTCATCTTTAAAATGAGAATAATAAAATGTGCTCTTTCCTCTGAGGGTGTTTTTTTGTTTTTGTTTTTGTTTTTTAAGTATCAAGTTAAATGAGACTGTGAAAGCCCTTCCCAAGCAGAAAAGCACCAGATGTAAAGTGTCTCTAAATATATAGCAAGGAGCATGCAGGTATAAACGTGTGGAGCATTCACAGCAATTGACTCTTATTAGCAGCCAGTGGGATAGCTTGGAAAAACATGCACTTTCGCGTCAAGTCCCCATTCTGCCATTTAACTAGCAGAGGGACCTTGGGCAAGTTGCTTAAATTATTTTTGAGCCTCTATCTTTTCAATTATAGAGAAAATAATATCTACCTCACTGGGTGTAACATTTAAGAAGTACCTGGTTCATAGTGAACACAAATTTTATTCTGTGCCTTCTTACTGACAGTATTATTTTACGCAAAACACATCACAGAAGTTATATCGGTCCTTCCAGAGTTTACCATGACAACATCAACATACAGAAAGAATAAATTTATTTAGTATTTATTAAACCCTATTAAATGCCTACCACTCTTCTGGGTGATTAGGGGAGGACCTAGAATTTTGTATTCCCTGCCCTCTGGAGAAACAATATAAAAGTGCTGTAGTTGGTCAAAGGTTCTCAGATCCAGTTTTGAGTCTGATGAAGATTACAACACCTCTCTCCAAAGAAAGTTACAAAACTTTTAGGAGACAATGGAGGCAATGTAGCAGAAAATCTTCATGACCTTAGGGTAGGGATAGCGTTCTTAACCAAGGAGGACAGTGAGGAGAGGAGAGACACTATAAAGAAAAAGATTCATAAATACACCTCCATTAAAATTAAGAATTTCCACATCAAAAGAAACCATAAAGAAAAATTTAAAAATAATCCAGAGTGGAAGATATCTGCAACACATGCAACCAAAAACATTGAGATTCTGGTGTAAAGAACTCCAGCAAACCAATAAAATATGGTAAGACAAAAAGTGTGATATATTTATACAATGAAAATAAACTACAGCTGCATGCAATATGGGTAAATCTTACAAACTTAATATTGAGTGAAAAAAGCATGACACTAAAGAATACAAACAGGATGGTTCCACTCACATGCACTTGTAAAGTAAGTAAAACTAAATAATATTGTATAGGGATGCCTATCTTTTGCACATGCACACAGGTAAGACTCATACAGAAGAGCAAGGAAATCATCGCAAAAGTCAAAAAAGTGGAAGGAAGAAGGATCAGCTGGCTTCCAGGTTACTGACAATATTGTTTCTTGACTTGGACACAGGTTACAAGAGTGTTACTGAGTTTTGCTTTATTGTGCTTAACAGATGCTGCATTTTTTACAAATTGAATGAAGGGAAGACCCTCCTCCAGCAAAAAGTTATGACTCGCTTCACCGCAGTGGTCTGGAACTGAACCCACAATCTCTCTCGAGGTATGCCTATCTTGTATAATTTATAGGTTTCAAACACTCTTCTGAATGTACCAGTACATGCAAAAAATAAACACACTTCCACCACCACACTTAAATTTAGCAGGGAGGAAAGGAGTTCACCGGCTCCCTCAAGTCCATAAACCCCAAATTTATGGTGTCAAGCTATGTGAGATCAAAGAAAAAGAAAATCTTTAGATTGTGAAGTGGTAGAAGTAGGGAGCAATGAGATGAGAACAGACGATGAAAGACTGGAAAGAAACTTTAAGCAGAAGAAACACTATGCCTCTGGGTCAGTTCATACTCTCACTTGGAGAGAGAACGTCTAGCACGTAAATAACGAATGCCCAAGCTTGGTAAGGAATGAGATGGTGGAATGCTAGAAACACTGTAAGTAATGAGGGGAATGAGGAACACAGCTTGTAAAGAAATGTCAACTATTAAATAACGTATCCCCAAAGAAAGAAGACCAGTAATTTGTAAGTTTAATCCTCACTGCTTAATATCTCTGTCCCTCACCCCTTAATGGAGACAGGGCATACTAAATAGTTAGAAATTGCAAACACCAATTGAGTGAAAAAGTCATGTCTCAGCAAAATACTACCACAGAAAGTAGGAAAGCTGTCAGCCTTGGGAAATTAAGGAACTGGTAAAAGCAAATTACAAAAATGCCACCTCCACCAGGCTTGGAATAAATATATGTATCGCAACTAAATGATAAATATTGATATATACTTGGATGGTATCTGCTCTGACTTCCAATACAGATCTTCACAGTCCAGTCCCACAGTACGGTAGAGTGAAGCTTTTTGCTCAAAGTAACAGGACTCCAAGGTAGCCTACACTGTTTAAATCAGTAATTCAGTGGAGGTACATCTTTGTCAAGTTTCGTCATTGTATTCTTGCAAGAAATATTAACAGATATCTATTTTTTCAATAGGTCTGGGTTAATACTGAACAAAACTATCAATTATTTTCAAAACGGATGGTGTTCATGTAGATAGTCCAATGCCTTATTTTGATGAAAAGTCCTACTAATGGACTTAAGGAATTATTTTTAAGGTCCCAAGATTCTATATCAAGGGCATCAAATTGACTATTTCTTCAAGTTCCACTTAAATTCCTTCACCCCATTTTCTACCCTCCATTTGTTCCCCCACAGACCCTTTATCTGCTCTTAATTCTCCAACTTTCTCTTAGGTGAAAGGGAACCACATAGAAAAGCTTCTCCATGACGTGATGGAATGCTGACTACATTTCACTTTCTAAAGAGGCTTCAATGCATCATTCTCATCTCATCGGAATCTCACTTCTCTATCTCCCTTTTATTGTCAAACCCCTAGGTTTGTTCTCTCGTTTGTAGATAACTGGCTTATTCAGTTGGAACCAAAGGCCAAAGAATTTCCTATTATGCTTGACTGGTAAGCTTGGGGGCGGGAGGAAGGGGTGTGGGTCTCTACTTACTTGTTCTTCCTTTTTATGTGCTAAACTATGGATCCGGGCTGCCTTTGTGCACCCAAAAACTCAATATCATAAAAGTAATTACAGGTCCAGAAATGATTCTCAGCCCCAGAGCATTGCCTTTTGGGTTGCTTTATTATGGACTAGGGGCTCGCAAAGTAACTCCAAAGTCCTATAGGAAACTGATGGGCTGCGGCGGTGGGGAGAGTCACAGGTCCAAAGTCCCGAGACATCGAAACCAGACAAGACTATCAGCACGTGGTTCTACCTGGCCGCGACCGCGCAGGCAAACCTACAGGGACCGGTAGGTCGCTCTCCACTGAGCGGCCAGACCCAGCCAATTCTCCACCGGCCTCTGACTCATCCAGAGATAAGTAATCACCTGGGTCACAAGTTTCAAGCCAGAGTTCCTGGATTTAGCGTGCACGGAAAATCTGTAGTTTTTGACGCCTGGGCCCTAGCAGGTGGAGACCAGTGTGAATGTCCTCAGGCTCGCCCAAAAAGTGAGGATGGGGATGTGGTGAAAAGCCACCCGCCCTCTCGCCTCCGGGAGGTGCCGGTCCCATCTGGGCAGGTGAGCGCCGCTGCTGTCCGGAGCAGGACCTGCGCGGCCCCCAGGCGCCCAGCCCTCGGTCCCGGTCCCGCGCGCCCCTTCGCGCTCCCCGCACCCCTCACCTGCGGCCGGGTGGCCCGGGAGCGCTCGGCCCCGGGCGCGGCGCTCACGCAGCTCTTCCTCCTCGTCCTCCCGCCGCCGGCCCTCAGCCATCGGCGAGGCACGGACGAACACCGAGTGCTCCCACGCCAGCACCCTCGGGGCCTGGAAGGTGGCGGCTGCGGCTGCGGCTGCGGCTGCGGCTGCGGCGCGGGGGGCTGCGGAATCGGCAAACTCTGCAGACTCCACCTGCAGCCGGCCAGGGAGAGGCCGGCGCGGGCGCAGCCGGTTTCCCCGCCTCCTCCTGGCAATGTCCGCGGCCTCTTTCTCCCTGCGCTCTCTCTCTCCCACTCTCTTCCCCCTTCCTCTTTCCCTTCTCCGCCCAGAGGAGTTGGAGCCAGGGATCGGGCGGGCTCTGGACAGGCCTCGCCTCCTCGGGGAGGGGTTAGGGGCCGCCCCACAGTCGCGCACACGCAGGAATCGCCCGCTCGGCCAAAACAAACCTGTACAAAATAAACAGGCTAGGAAGGGGTTGCGGGAGGTGGCCTGGCCTCTTCCTGCCCTTTCACTCCACATTCCGGTGTCAACAGGAAACCCATTTGCTTGACACTTAAACAAAAGGAGGGGGGAGGATCCTGCCCCTAGCGGGACTAGGAGAGATGGGACAGCTGGGAGGCGCTGAACTTGGAAAAAAAAACTTCGCTTGGCGTTTGGTTGAGTCTCTGGCCATTTTTTCTTCTCTCTTTTCGCTGTTTAAAATCGAGCCTCACCAGAGCACTGAGGATTTTTAGGGCAGTGAAACTGTGGTGGTGGGTACATGCCATTCATTATACATTTGCCCAAACCTATAGACTGTACAAGGTCAAGAGTGAAGCCTAATGTAAACTATAGACTTTGGGTGATTGTGCTGTGTTAGTACAGGTTCCTTCATTGTAAGGGCCACTCTGTGGAGGATGGTGATAATGGGGGAGGCTTTGCATGTGTGGGGCAGTGGTGATATGGGATGTCTCAGTCTTCAGCTCAACCTAAAACTGCTCTAAAATATAGTCTGTATTTTTAATTTTTTTTTCTTAAAATGGCCACAATCCCTACAAGAAAATGTGCTTAGGAGCCCAGAACCTGATTGTTTGTAGAGTAGTTGTTTTGATGAAGTGGCTCTGATCTCTGAAACTAATTTGAAGCGCTTAGCTGTGAGCCCTACCCCTGTGGAAGTTTTTCAGTGCTGAAAAGAACTTTGCAAGAAAGTTCTTGTGTATCTGTATAGTACACTTCTTAGGTTCAGCACTTGCACATACACACTTTGATACAGAGAGGAAGCTTCTGGAATCTCAGAAAAAAGATACCCAAGCAGCAGGCAGGAACACTGCCTGAACATGAACCCATAGGAAACTCCCTGGGGGCATGAACAGGCCTTTATCTTCAGCCTTTTGCTTTATTTCTGAGATTGTAGGAGCTCCTAATGTTTAGCACGTAAGAGAATAAGAGGGAGAAAAGGGCCACTGAAAATCGAATTGCCTGTCGTACCTGAGTGCTACTTCTTTGCCTCTTCAACAGTGGTTGCTGCCGCCTGAGAAAACCTTTCTACTTTTAGGCAGATAAGAGCCATAATCAATTTTGTAGAATTGAGGTCAAATCCACAAGTTAAAACTCTGTTAACTGCTAAGCGGTTAAAAAGTAGACATCTGGAGAACTTGAGATTAAAGTGAGGGGGGGAGGGGGAAAGGTTCTGTACATTTAGGGTTGTTTTAAGTGTTTGGGTTCACTATGAGTGAAAGCATATTTGTCAGTTCCCTTCAAGGGTTAGGAATCATTTGGAGACCCCGACACTCCCAATAGCACAACTTCACTACCTGTCAGTGTCTGTCTCTACAGTGTTTCGGATTCTTAGTTTGAAACGGGCTGAAGTGTTCTGGATTTTCCATCCAATCAGAGCTTTAGGAACCAACGGCCTTGTTTTGGGGTGCATGCTCAAGCCCACTTTACAGGCAGCAAACATTTATGGTAACCAGTATGTGCCACATACAAGTGCTATGGGGAGATTCAAAGAAGGAAAGAAATAATTACTCTGAGGTCCTGCGGTAGGTGCTTTTCACATAGGTTTTCTCATTTTAAATGAACAAAAAATGTTTCCTGTCCTCCAATGACTGCGAAAGATCTATCCAGTTTACCACAAAACAAGGCAAAATTTGGTAAATTCTGTAACAAAGATATAACCTTAGATAAGGGTGCCAAGATAATTCAGTGGAGAAGGAATTGTCTTTACAAATGGATATTCACAGTCAAAAGAATAAATTTGAACCTTTATACCATATCAGAAATTAACTAAAAGCACATCATAGATTTAAATGTAAGAGCTAGAACTATAAAGCTCTTCAAAGAAAACATTAAATCTGTGTGACCTTGGGATAGATAATGGTTTCTTAGGGTGACACCAAAATGTATAAGTGACAAAAGAAAAAATAAATTGGACCTTGCCAAAAAATTTTAACTTTTATTCTTCAAAATATATCATCAAGAAAGTGAAAAGACAGCCCTTACAATGTGAGAAAATATTTGTAAATCATATATTTGATAAGGCACTTGTATTCAGAATATATAAAGAATTTACAACTCAACAATTTAAAAAAATTGGTCCAATTTAAAGATGGACATTCTCCAGATAAGATATACAAATGGATATAGTAAGAACATGAAAAGATGCCCAACATTATTAGCCATTAAAGAAATGTAAATTAAAACCTCAATGAGTTACCACTTCACACCTATTAGATGACTAAGATAAAAAATGCAGATATTAATGTGTTGAAGAGGATGTGGAGAAATTTCAACCTTCATATGTGACTGGTGGGAATGTAAAACGGTGTAGCCACTTTGGAATATAGTTGGCAGTTCCTTAAAAAGTTACCATATAATGTAGCAATTTTCTGCTCATAGGAATACACCCAAGAGAAATGAAAAGCTGCCTACACAAAAACTTGTACATGAATGCTTACAGTGACATTATTCATAATAGCCAAAAAGTGGACACAATCAAATGTTCCATCAATTGGTGAATGGATAGATAGTGGTATATCCATACAATGGAATATTATAGTTATAAAAATGAATGAAGTACTGATACATGCTATGGCTGAATCTAGAAAACATTATGCTAAGTTAAAGAAGCTAGAGACAAAAGACTGCGATGATATATTATCCTGTTTATACAAAATGTCCAGAATAGGTTAACCCATGGAGACATAAAGTAGATTAGGGGTTGCTGGGGGCAGAGGATAATAGAGAGTCACAGCTAATAGGTACAAGATTTCCTCTCAAGGTGATGTAAATACTATAAAACCAGAGAGTTGTGATGGTTACACAACTCTGAATATACTAAAGGATGCGGTATAAATTATATCTCAATATAGCTGTTACTTAGCGGGGGGAAGTATAACCCACTCACCACGAAAGCAAGAAAACAAAGACCAGGAAGAGTACTTCATGCTGAAGCCATCATATTGAAGTAGAGAAACCAAATAAGAGTAACAAGCAATAATAATTTAATCATACGAAAGAAAACCAAAGGTGTGGCTGACTAGCAACCAAGTAAACATGCCAAACATCCTCCCCGCCCGGGTGACACAATAAGAGCCAAACCCATAGAAGGAAAATGTTTAAAAACTTGGAATGCAAATTTACAGACTAAGAGTAGAACAAGATTTACCTTCAAAGCTTGAAGGGATTAAGAAAAAAACATTGAAAGAGATATTGAAAAATAGCCCTCATTGCAAAGGAAGATGTTCTTTGCTTCTTACTTTGGATATATATAGCCTGAAACAAACTGATGTGCTAATAGAAAACACACAAAAAATAAGGCTATATTATTTAAATACATATGTAGTATAGTGCTTAGCAAAGAGAACGCACAATGAATATTTGTTTAGTGACTGAATTAATATTATTTTTTATTTCTTCTGCTGAATCATCAGAAAGCATGAGTCTCAAGTCGTTTAACTTAAATAAAAGGTAGCTATTATTATGGAATGAAAAATTTACAGCTGAAGACCTCAAAATAAAAAGCAAGGGTGGACAGGAGTATACAGTGGATTTTAAAAGTACAGTGCCTTCAAAGTTTTCTTAAAATATCTCAACCAAGTATGACAGAATTTTAAGATTTATCAAAGTAGGATGGTGGTTCATGAGTGTGTATTATATTATTCTCCACATTTTCTATGTGCTTTTAAATTTTCTTTACTTTTTTTTAAAAAAGGTAAAAGCAGAAAGCACAGCAAAGTAGACTGAGATAGCTACAGTTTCTGTGTGGTTAGGACACTTCACTCTAGGAATTTCTCCTTGTGGTAGATGGCTTGCAAACATGTCCCCATGTCTTTACCTATACGCTTTATAATGTTGACTTTGCATTTCTTCCAACAAGAGATGGCTTCCTACCCTATGAAGTTGGGCTGGCTTTGGAACTTGCTTTGGCCAAGAAAATATGACAGAAATGACAATGTGTAAATTCCAAGTCCAGAGCTCAAGACTTGTCCTCTTGGAAGTCTTCTACCATCGTGTGAACAAGCCAAAGTTACGCTACTGGAGAATGAGACGATGTGTGAAGGAAAGACCAGTTGCCCCAATGGAGGCCACCTAGACCAGCCCATAGGCAGCCATTCCCCAAACATTTGAAGAACCCAGTCAAGATCAGCAGAGCTGCTTAGCTGACCATGACACATAAGTGACATGCCTAAGAACAAAACTGTTGTCCAGCTGGTCTGTAAACTCATAAGCAGTAAGAAGTGCTTACTGTTTCATTCACTGAAGTGTTGTGGTTGCTTGTTATACAGCATGTGCTGGTTTGGGATCCCCAGGAATCAGTCACTGAAATAGAGTTAAAGGTGCACACAATTTACTAGAGAAAACGCCTGTGAAAGGAACAAAAGAGAGAGAAATATCGGTTGAAGGAGATTGTCATTCCACTCTGCAGACCTGATAGAGCTTCTGCTAGTCCAGCAGAGTGAAGGGGTGGGCCCTAGAGTCACCACCTTGCTCAGTCATTGGCTAAGGCTGCTTGAAAGCTGAGTCACACACTAACGGAGATACCAATGAAAGGCTGTCAGCTTACCACAGGCTTTGTACCTGGGCAGCAAAGAGCTTTCTTAAAGGGTGTGGCACATCTCTGTGTCAGCCATAGTCCAATCCTTGCATCATGCAAATCCACTTCTCCATACGTGCCCAGGGAATGAGTAGCTCAGGTTAACCTTCATCATTGCACTTGGCCTCAGGGCCTCCGCTAGTCCTCACAGCCTCCCTTCTCCAATATCCATTCTAAATTCCTCTTGCCCTCAGCTACCACCTCCGCTGGTCTCAGTGGCTTACCTGGTGGTATGACCCAAACTTTTCTTATTGAGGTATCTTAGTCCCTAGTAATCATATCCTTCTCAGGCTGGCTTTGCTTCACTTGTCGGTTCACAATTACAATCAGTCAAAGGAGAACCAAGAACCAAGCACCCGAGTGGGTCATCTGAGTTTTGCAGATGAGTTTTGCCTCCCCATTCCCTCTGTGTAGAATCA